CCCCCCCCCCCCCCCCCCCCCCCCCCCCAAAAGAAAAATCTTCTTCTCGATACTAAGGTAAACTCAAAATGTGGTTTTGACCAGCTGTGTATTCTAAGTTATTTAGCGTCCTAACATTAGGCTAGCCTTTCCAAAAATGCAACAAAAACATTATTGCTTCTTTGATTGAAAAGAATGTAACACTGGCTATAAGGAGGTCTATACCGCATTTTAAAATAATGATCCCCAAAAATGATTCAAATTTGCCCATTTTTTATATTCCTTTCCAGGTGAATTTTGTCATCTGCCTAAGCGCTCTTTTCATCACACGAAAGTAGTTTTCTAAGAGGCGGGAATGCCTTCCGAATATAAAATCGATCTCTGATTAAAAGCAAGCCAGTTGAGTTGAGTGCCTAAAAATTATTTAAAACAAACAACAACAAAAAAACCCCCACCCAAAAACATTCCTGTTCAAGAGGGCCTTACTGGGGATTCGAGCCAGGGCTGTCGGTTCCAAACTCTAGTATGACACCACCTGAGCCGTCAACCTCTTTGACACAATGATTCGATTATGTGCCACGGCACACAAGTGACAAGTATTCGATTCCCGAATTTTGAAGTCATCGTCGAATATCTCTGTCTGTTGGCATGTTGAATCGCCCCAAATGTAACAAAGGGCAGTTTTTATTTTAATCTTTGAAAATACTGAAAGTATAGCCTTACGTTCTCACCAGTTCACGAGTTTGTGAAGACAATTCAATATGTGGAGTATTTTATATCGATATACAGCGTCTGTAGGACATCGCAAAACAATAGATAGCACAACTAAACAAAAAATAGACAAAGGTCATGCGAACTCAAAAATCGGAATTTTAAAAAGTCTCAGATCATCTGTGGTTTTACATGGTAGTGAGGCTTGGGCAGAGAAACGGAAGACAAAAAAGCAGAATACAAGTGGACTTTTGTGGTCTTGTGGTTACGGTGTTCGCGTCTCATTCAATAGGTCCTTGTTCGAAACATGACAACGATAGAAAACTTTCTTTTCCCCAAACAGTCACCTTCCACCTCTTGTCTGCTCTCTAGCCATATTCTGTCGTCAGCTTTACGTCCACTCAAAATTAATTCCTACCTCATACGACCATAATTATGCAGTTGCGAGCGCCGTAAAACACTTACCAAAACAAACATGCAGCATACAAAAGCAGATATGTGTTTTTATATTAAGTAACCGCTCCGGGTCAAATTGACATGATAAAGAACAGAAGTTTTAGTTTTAGTAAAAGTTTTATGGCACTTGCAGCAGGAAAAGATCCTACGGTATAAATGTCGAAGATTAGAAGTGTCACAAGAGAGTAACAAACATAAAGAAGGGGAAGATTTCAGAACGATAGATGTTTGATAGTAAAGAAGGCGCAAACCACACTAAAGCACACGCTAACCAGCCACAGGTAAGAGAACAAATTATGAAAGTGTCCTGAAAGAGCATGATACACAGAGCAGAACGCCTCCTGAAATCAGGAAAGGGAGACTGCGGCATAGAGGTCAAACACTTCACCGTTGCATGCAGAGGGCATGAGTTCGAATCCCAGTTTTGGGAGTGTTTTTCTCAAGGATCTAGGTCTGTCTTTTTCTCTGTTGTGCGTTGCCTCACTCCCAGCTCGGGTTGGCCATGAAAAGAAAAGGCCGAAGCAGCCAGCCACCTAAATGATCTGCACAATGTTGATGGTCGCAAGAAGCATGCAACTGAGTGTTTACACTTCTTACGCCGGTTCCAACGTTCAAAAGGCAAAATCTATTCTCAGGTCAGGTTAAGAGGTTAACTATGGATCAAACTAATCTTCTCACTAGTATCATTACAATATGCACTATCTATACACTGTTGAAATTCTCTCTATCGAAATAAAAAGCAGATGAATGAATAGATAGACAGACAGACAGACAGACAGACAGACAGACAGACAGACAGACAGACAGACAGACAGCCAGACAGACAGACAGACAGACAGACAGACAGATAGATAGATAGATAGATAGATAGATAGATAGATAGATAGATAGATAGATAGATCGATAGATAGATAGATAGATAGATAGATAGATAGATAGATAGATAGATAGATAGATTTAATTTGGCTCTCGCTGCGTGGGAACAGGGAACACACTGTGCTACTGTTTCAGGCATGATGAAAATGGTTGAAGAGAGCCATTAACTGTAATGTTCTCCTAATAACACGACAGAATCTATTATCGAAAGAGGGACACACTTGCTATCATAATCTCTCTCATTTTTTTTCTTTTAGTTTTTGTTTTACTTTGTTTCGTTCTTTGTTGTTTTTCCTGTGTTTTTTTATACATGTGATTTTATTTTTTCTCGCATTTTATTTTTTAGTTTAGCTATTGGTCCAACAACAACATCTCTAAGATCAGGAGATCAGTCACTTTTATGATCTCCTATGAATGAAGAAGGGCGTCAAAAACATCGGTGTGAGCCGTTATCTCTTCTGGCCGCCTCTATCTGGATATCTCACTCTCAATAGTTGAGCGGCATAATATTACATTATTAGAGTCCGGGGCAAAATTTAAAATATTTTTAAAAATAAATTTATGAAATACCATCTTAT